GATAAGAAGATAGTGTGTTTAATAAGCCTGTATCAAACTATTCAAAAATCATGAGCTCAGAAACACTGCAAAATGTTTCCCAAAGATCCCACACCAAAATAGGACGGTGGTCATAATAAAGGAAGCAGTTTTAGAGAATGAACACAAATAGAAATAGAATATTAAACTAGAAGGTTCCTTGTGACTTGCGGGAGTGGCATTCCATTTGTCCCTTTCAAAACACAGTATCCAGTCCTGCTCTTAAAACCTTTCTTTTCATGTTAATGCACGTGAAAGGAGTAGACAAATCGCCCTTAGCAGCCAAGTTGGTCTCAGTGTCTGACCAAACAGGAACCTGAAGTCGCCATTAGGGTATCATCAAATCTTGCTCTTAAATTAAAATCTAAAGTCAGACTACAAAGGGACGCGAATAATGTCAGTGCTTGAGTCTTTCCCTTCCCAGTTAGTATTCATGAGTCCCTGGGACTTAATCCCTCCTTGCTGAATCATTTGATTGCAGCTTGATTTTAATTCCTTCTAGCACTTCATCGCGGGGCACTAACTTCCCTCTCACTGGCTATATAATAAATTGTAGTGAGCCGGAAGGATCTACTACCAATGAGATTTCAACCTTTACTTCCTTGTGCAGCTTGTTTGTTCTTGGTTCAAGGGCAGCTTACGTGGAGATACCAGATCAGATACGAAGTGACACCAATTACTAGCAGGATGTGTAAGATAAGTCTTTCTCTTCTTTTCAGTGCCACCCTGGTAGACTGACATCTTTTCCCTCTAGTTATCAAAAGTAGGACTTCACCCACTTGAAGAAAGGTCTCATCGAAGTCATGAGTCCCAGGGTAGCCCTTTAACGCTATTTTTAATATCTTCAAGCTTAAAATCAGGAGCATCACCTAGCGTGCAAAATGGCATCTGTTCTGAAATGTAAAATTTCCTGATTATGATTTTTGCACACTCTTAAATTAAGATACTACTTATAAGTGTGTACATGTATAAATTCTAAGTTTGAAGGCCAAACACTCAGTTCCAAAGCACAAAAGAGAGAGCTTTTTAGTTTATTACAAGGATCTGATCATACACAAAACATAGCTTATCAGAATGCTGAGTTTGCTGTGCATGGTGGCAGTGTTTAAGAGGCTAAGGTAGCACTCGGGAGACTGAGGCAGGAGGATCACTGGGAGTCTGAGGCCAGGCTTGGCTAGATATATTTCTAGGACAAAAACCCCGGGGAAAATGGCAAACCATCCCCTGAGAGCAGACAGGAGGAAAATTCCAGAGAGAGTGTGGTTTGTGCACCAGGCTGGTGGTAGCAGTATGCTAGTCTTACAACCCCAGATGGCACTTTATCCTCACCAAGGCACTGGACAAGGAGTTGTGTTTCCTTGCGTTGGGAAAGAAAAGTTATATATTTCTTTGCTTCAAAGCAATCTTCTAGAGAAAAACGATTGTTCCCTCCACATCAGTATTTTATCAGAATCAAGACTTTAATGGAAAAAATAAAAGGAAATGAATTCTGTTTTCCCAGTTGCTCAGCAGATATGTATTCCAGTCTTTTTTTCTCCTCTGCTAACACTTAAATGGGTCTTAAAATGTGAGCTTTTCTAAGAAATAATTTTATATTTTCAGAATGCTTATTCAAATGCAGGACCTTCTCTGGTTCCAGTTCTTTCTACATGAAAATTATTCTGTCAATTTTTGTCACATGTCCATCATTTGAAGCACGTCTGTTGTTATTATTGCTACTATTTAATTTTTATAAAGAATTTATAGTGATCTAGATACTTTCCTTCTCTGTTCATATGGCATTACATTTCAACAGCAGCCTGGTTTCTATAGCCACAGACCAGATAGAAATAACAGGGAACAAAGACATCAAACTCACCATGGTGTTAGGAAATACTAAGATAAACCCCACAACCAGCTCTGTTAGACTACAAAGAACATTTTAAAAATTCTTCTGCTAAATCTTTTTAAAGCATAGTCTTTGCTTTCCTAGGACAAAAGTAGTTATTCTTGCCAGGATAAATGATACACACTTGTAATCCCAGCTACTTGAGAGACTGAGGCAGGAGGATCCTTTTAAGACTAACCTGAACAATGTAGTCAGACCTTGTTCCACAAAAACATTAATCAAAGAACAAGTCAGTTCTCACAATTTTAAGATTCGAAATATATACAAATGGATTTTGAGATACATTGCCATGGCAGCAGAAGTGAACTTTTAATGTTACTTGAGATTTCAATGTTTCCATTAAAATGATTTACTCGGTTTTGTTCACAGTGTACGTGTGTGTGTGTGTGTGTGTGTGTGTGTGTGTGTGTGGTGGGGAGTGAACTCAGGGCCTTGTACATGCTAGGCAAGCACTTTTGAGCTACATCCCCAGCCACACTGGTTTTAAAAAGCAGAACTTCATTGCAAACTAGTGGAAAAATGAGAGAGGAAATGAGTATAATTAAACCCAAGTTAGATTTCAGGGAAAATGACTTGTGTTTAGAAGTCAATGTGTTTCTATAGATACCAGTGGATTTTGAGTCAAATACAGGAGTCCATCCATTCCGAGTCAGATAATCAAAGAATCGCTGAAGAATACTAAGCAAAGCCAAGTGTCTTATTTTAGATATATTTTGTAACTACTGCTGTTTATAAGTAACACCTCAAAATCTGCTTTGGCTTGCATATCTTTCCAAAATCTTGTTCTATATCTATTTGCACTATGTCAATTATATAGATAAAATAGGAGCTGAGAAATCTTCCTTGAGAATACATTGTTTTTGTTAGAAACTTTGTCCTGCTACCTCCTGAACTGCTTGAAAATGAAAATCTCTGTCTTCTAAATGACAGCCACCTTGTCGATGGAACCAAAATAGCTCTCTCAGCTACAGAGCTGTCTGTCAGTGAGGGTTCTGACAGATACTGGATTTGGCATGCAAGAAAGAGGAAAGAAATGGTCCCATGGAAGCAGATTCAGTGGGAGAAAACCCCCCCCCCCCCCCTTAAGGAATAAGCCAGGAAGAATATCTGGGAAACTGTGCTCTCCTACTACCAGATAGACTACAAAGAAACTAACAGCCACTTCTGGAAAAGACAGGTGTTGGGGGGAGATTATTTCCACTATTAAGTTTTGTTGGATTTTGAAAGGGTCATGGTTAGATATAAGATGCACAACCTGGAAAGTTTCCATTTGTAAAAGGAATCAAGTACGCATACCCGCACAGGATTTTCTCTCCGTCTAGTGGTGGGGTGGGGGCTTTTGAGTGTCACTGCATTATATTGCTTCATAAATGAACATAGGTTCCGGTTATTGTGCATTTTGCCCGCCAAAGAGGACTTTCTTTAGGCGTGCCTATGTCCATCTGAGGAAGTGGACTGCCTCCCAAACACCCTGATTATCACTAAGGTAGCAAGGGTCTCCTCTCTTTTTTGGCTAGAGATATAGGATTCTTTTCTCCTCTGTAGTTCAATCAAAGGTGAAATTATATGGTACTCACAGGCAACTTTCCTGATCCCTAGTTAGGACCAGAAAAACCTGAGGAGACCAACGGGGGGCGGGGGAGAGAAAGCAAACCCACCTGAGTAAAGGTGGAAAATATGGAAATGCAAAGGACAGACATTAAGATAAAGGATCTAAAGAGCCAAATGAAGCTGATATAAAGGGCAATAATTAAGAGAGAAAGTTTGGAACACATCCCTACCTTTATGTTCAAGTCTGTCATTTCTTCCATTTTCATCTTTAAATATGTGAAAATACTTCAAGGGTAGTAACGTAGATCAATGATAATGAGTGAAAAAGTAAAACAACACAGCAAAAGTAAATGATGACCAATTTAACCATTTTGTAACTAAAATTTCCTTCTTCAATATGGAAGAATTAGTTGCACAATGCCATAATTGTACAAGAGTATTCATGGAAACAGACCATAAATTGTAGATGTCTAATCAATAGGTTAGATCCATACTGGAAAATGTATCCATGTGAAGTATGAAGAGAACGCAGCTTTTTTCCTGCCCTGTACTCAGGCATTGATAATGCCTACTCAATTTTCCTTTTGGATGTTTCCAAGGCAACCAAACTCTTATGTTTTCACTGAAAACCTGTTCCTTTCCTGGCCTTATTATCTCAGTGAATAACTACATTAGCCAACTAGTTACACGAGCGACAAATCTGTAAGTTCCCCTTAGTTTTCCACCATCCTAACAAATCATCATCAAGTCCTTTACCTCCCACATCCGTCGCAAATAAGCCAACTCTCTTTGCCTCCATCACGTTTGAATTAATCATTTCTCTCCTAAAACATGTACTGCTCTTGTTAAGTACATTCTCCACCCTGCATTCAACAAATAGATTTGAGGGGCCTGCTTTGCACTCTGGAAATTCTGTAGTGAAAAACAAGGAGCTGTGGAGGCAGAAGATGAACATCAAATAGTCATAAACATTGTGTGGAGAATTAAAAAAAGATTATAAAATCTTATATTTTAGACAACATGTTCTAGTAGAAGGGATCAGTGTGAGTTTCCACAAGAGTTAAGAGGTTAGAAGCAGAAGAATAAATGTAGTATTCTGGGATGATGGTATCTGTTACTAGGGCTTCCTAGAAAGTAGATTGTTTCAGATGCTGGCGAAGAAGAAGAAAAATAAATAGAAAACACACATGATGGTTCAGGCTAGGTCTGTTTGCCTTGAAACATTGCTTCTTAAATATAGCATTTATTATGTACATGGAAGTATCTCATTTTGTTATTGTTGTTAACTCTTCTATGTATTCCTCTCTCTAGACCGTAAACTTCAAAAACAAACGAACAAGAACAAGAGCCACAACTATCTTGCTCTTTGCTGTGCCACCACAGACTGAGAACTGAGCCTCAATGACATTAAGCACTCAAATGAAGCACTGGTTGTATCAATGCACAAATCTATGTATGAAGCAGGATAGCCAACAGACAAACTAAAGGGATTAGGAAGAGCAGGAGTCTTAGTAGTGATGTCAAACGAGTTGTTTCAACTCACCAGTGTAACTGGGATATATATTCCCCTACCAGGAGTTTCGGCATTGAGACGCTACTACCTAGCTCCTATCCTCACCCTCACACACACGCTCACAACCACAAAGCACTTCCAATTCCCCGCTAGGAGGAGTCACACGGCCTGACTCAGAAATCCTCCCCACTTCTCTATTTCTGTTTCCATCCCCTCCCGACCAAAGTTCCGCTAGCCTCCGAGTCGCAATGCTCGCCGGGAATGGTAGTCTTCCGGCCCAAGCCTATAGCCGTTTAGAGTATTTGAACAACTACGTTTCCTAGCGGTCCTTGCGGCAGAGGACGGCTGAGTCACCTGACCAGGACGCGGCCGGTGCGATGGCGGCCCCCATACTACGCTGGGTCGGCCCTGGAAAACGTTGGGCTTTAGCATGGGTGGACAGCAGTTCCAGCCACCGAAGAGTGTCCCCGAATGGGTCAGCTTCCCATCGGATGAGGGAACAGAGATCAGTGGCCCAGCAGTCTCTCCATACGGCCCCGAAGCCGAGGAAAGGGTATAAACTTTTCATACCATTACTGCACACCTATGTGTGAAGTGGAGCTGCAGGACTAAGGAGATGACAGCCTGTGTAGCCCAGCCCTTGGAAGTTTGGGTAGGAGGGAGGGTGTTTGCCTATAACATAAGAATCTTGACACCTAGATGAAAATAAAGTATGCATTCTATCAGCTCCTTGCCCACAAATTCACCACTCTCTTAAAGTAGGCGTATTTGAGGAACTCGCAAGTGAAAAATAGCAAGTTTTCTTGAGTCAACTTCTGTACTGTCAGGAGATTCGATCTCATTTGGTTACAGTAGCAGTGGAGTCGGTGATACACAGTGCTACTAAGGGCTGGAAAGGGATTTTTTGTCTATAGGCTTCATGTAGTGATGGTATAATGTCATTAGTCAGAAATTATGAGTCAGAAAACGGCAGCTATTTGTTGAACATGTGAGACCAAGGATGAGCAGCTAACTGAAGAGATCTTCCCCCTGGTTATGTAAAGAATTTTGCTACATACTTTGTGAATAGCTGTTTATGATTCACTGTATAAGATTTCAGTCTTTTTTTTTTAAATACAGAAACATAAGCCTCGTTTCTCATATTTGGTTTTTACTTAGAGCTTTGCTTCGTAGAACTGAAAGAACGTGTACAAATGCATTCCGTTTCTTTTCATAAACTAGATAATCTTTGTATGAATGGAAAGTATATTTTTCTCTCATTTAATGAAACTGCAAACATATTTTGAATTTTTAGTTTAATTTCTCATACAGACTGTGTCGCCAAATGTTAAAAAGAAAGAATTAATCTTTGCAATATACCATATACAGAACTTCTTGTACTGAAATGGGTTTTTAAAACCCCAATGTGAACAAAAATCTACATAATACACAAAATTGCTTAGGACAAGAGCAGGATAGGAGCATACATAGATTTTACATGGAATAAGCACAGTTAGCTAAAAGTCTTGTGTGCCAACCTAACAGAGTAGGAAAGATCAGATAAACGAGATTACTGTAGTATTTAACACCTTGTTAGGTTTGATAGAAAGCAAGCACAAAGGAACGTGAAATCTGATCCAAGAAACTGAAAATGATTTGGGGAACCAAAACGAAAAAGCTACATCTGATAGTTCCATATTTTCTTTTTTGCAAACATTTTCAGCAGTATCATTTAGTGATCAGTTATATTTGTGTCATTCTGGTAATTGTACCTGCAAGCTATTGTTATAAAATGAATTCAAAACAAAGTTGAGAATATTCTTTTTCACCATTTCTGTTGTAGAATCCTACCACTGACTTGAATTCTAAATGTTTGAAAGATCAGCTTTCTTCACTTCTTACTAAGTGACTGATTAAGTTACAGATATTTAGAAATTGCTGATTTTTCGCTGAAGTCAGCCAAGCAGTTGCACCTAATACCCATTTTTAAATTGTGTTAAGGCACCAGACGGTTTTGTTTTCTGTTGCTGTGAGCTTCCTAATGCTGCATTGTAAACAATTTCTTTTTCCAATCGCATGGTAGATATTTATTACGAATTGTTTGTGATTTAATCACAAATAAAATATCACATCTTAAAAAGTAAGGATATAAAATTTTAATAAGTTAAAAACAAATAGGTTTAGACTTAGAGAAATTGTGGTTTAGGCTTACAGAAATTCATACATAGTACTAGTTGTAACTACTTCTTAACAATTATCTCATTCTTTTTAGTGGACATAAATGGGCAGCTGTGGTAGGATTGGAAGTTCATGCCCAGATCTCCTCCAATTCCAAGCTTTTCTCTGGATCTCAAGTGTCTTTTGCAGCTCCTCCAAATTCCTTGGTTTCTTTTTTTGATGCTTCTCTGCCTGGAACTTTGCCGGTAAGCTTTTTATCTGATCTTATTTTCATTAGTAAGTGTTTGTTATACTGGTCATAGATAATGTCTTCCTTGCTGTAATATCTTGACACACTCTGTTTAGAGAACTTTGGATAAAATTGGATGGACTAAAGGTTTCTAAAGACTCTTCTGTAATTCTGTTTCTAATTCTGAGTGTATTTGTACATCTGTTTATTGCACACACATTTTAGAATGCCTACTAAATACCAGACACTGCTCATTTGTAAAGATGAGCAAAGATCCCCCTGCTTTTATGGAGTTCAAAGACTAGTGGTGGTGATGTCTTGTAAACAAGTACAATGTGATTACTTCTGTGAAGGTCATAGGTAGAGGATGGAACCCAGAGGAGGAAAACATAAGTCAGTAAAAGGAAGGACTAATAGAGTGTTGTAAAGGGTATGTTAGTTAAGGAAGGGGGCTGGAGGAGGTGGTGTCAAAACTATTTGAGAAGCCAAATAAGAGTTAGGCAGATAAATGAAGAGGAAGAGGAATCTGTAGTCAAAGGAGGCAGCATATGTCACAGGATATTACAGTGTAAGTGCAATAATGAGAATTAAGCAACAATAATGAGCCAACCACGATGTACAGTGATTTAATAACTCATTTTCACATGACCCTAAGGAATGACTGAGCCCAGTGTATCCATCAGCAAGATTCTTATTACATATTTTCATGTAATTGGGTGAATTTTGAAGAATTCACCCAGTGCAAATATTTGAGTAAGGTTTAAGACCTATAGTATCGACTGGGTGTAGTTTACCCCACCATGTTTGAAGAGAACATGTATACCCGGTGATAATGGGAGTGGGGCCTGTAGGGTTGGTCATAGGTGAATTCCAGTCTCTCAGGACACTTCAATATAAATGAAAGCTGGTGGAGCTGAATACTGGCAGGCTTGCAGGGACTTGGTCGGCTTTTCTCAAAATCATTGTTCAGGCAGAAAGGTGCTTGGCCTTGCTTCCCTTTTGCCTGCCTTACCTGAGCCTTTGATGGTGTTGGGACTTTTTCCTTATTTGTGTTTTGCTATGGAGGACTGCCATCTCTGGAAACTATACCCAGAATTACCTTTGATTTGCTGTGGGTCTCTCTAGAGGAATGTGGATGTAGAGTTCTGTCTCCCCCTGACCTGTATTCCCAGCTTAGAGCAACTTCTTATACAGCAAGTTTTTGTTTGGGAAGAGACAGTTATAAACATATGAAGATTTTTGTTTTGTTGGTGGAGGTGGCTTTTAGTGGACACTCAGATATAGCAGAAATAATGTCTGTTCAAACAAGTGAAATAGAAGGCAAATTGGTATAACACCTCTTTTTCCTTCTCAGTTGAAAACATTTTTCCCCCAGTGTGGTAATCATTGACAAGAGACTCAACATAAGCTCTGAATTCCTTTTAGGTTTTTCTAGCTGGAAATGTGGTATCTAGCAGGATACACACTATAGTTCATGTTTAGAAATAGATCCACTTGCAGATAGGCACATTTTTTGGTAAACAGACAACAGGCTCTTCAGTTATATCTAAGTATAGTCAAAAAATATTAGAGATAGTTCAAAATATCAGATAACAGACTTTTTTCACGCACCAAAAAGGATGTTTGTCCAGTGATAAGCATGTCAGTAAAACAGTGGAGACTCTTGACCTTTAAGAGCTTGGCTTACATTAATTAAACAGTACATAGAGGCTAAAAATGCAGCTTTGCATGAGCTAGGATGTTTTTCTTCAGAGCTAACAAGTCAGTTTAAGTAGCCTACATGGTTCTTCTCTGATCTACCACTTTTCAGAAATGTTTCTGTCTCTAAAGGAACTGTTTTAGTACCTGAGTAAAATTATATCAAAAATTCCAGAATAAAACATCACTGAAAACATTTCAAAACCCTGTGATTTGCCTGTAAATAGATTTAAAATGTACTACAGCATTTAGATAAGTGTCCTTCTTTAATACCGTAGAGACAGTATGGTAATGTGCTGAGATCCTGACCCTGGATCTGGTGACTACTTGTAACCCAGAATTGGAAAGTAGGTTTCGGAGGGTTGGAGTACAATATTAAGTTATTAGTTTGGTCAGTTAAGCCTAGGAATATGTAGAATTCATGGTGATGCCTGGAGCTATATCTTCCCAAGTCTACTCTGTTCTCTCCTCAGTCTTCTCCTTGACCCATTGACTGGTTCTTCTCATGTTTCTTTCACCCAGCCCTGATGCGTTAGCTTCTCATACTTCATTCCTTGGCTCTCATTTCTGTCCCATAAGTTCTCCTGTGTCATCTTTCACCCTCAAATAGAGCTTTCTTTGGCTGCTAGCAACCAAGTCTGTGTGTCTAACATCCTACTATATATTTCCATCCAAATGATTCATTAGTATCGTAAGTCCAGCACTTAGAATATTGAGCCTATTATCTTTTCTCTCCAAAGAATACATCAGTAAGTGGAGCAGAAGAATCTTTTTATAAATGGATATTGGAGAGGAAATGTGTGTAGTATATCATGTACATAGACATGTATATGTTAAAGAAGGATCAAAAATCATTGGCAAAAGGAAGATCTATCCAACTGACAGTTTGGAAAAATTGATTAACTAGCTATTCAGAGGCAAATATTACTGTAGCTCATTTGAGACATCAAAACATTTTGATATATACAAAATATTCAGATACATATTTACAAGTTAAAAGTAAAACTAAACTGGAACACAATGCAGACTATTCATTTGTCCTTGGGACAGGAAGAAATTTTGTAAGCATAAAAGCAATAGGAAAAATGCATAAGACAAAATGATGGAAATTTATCTACTTGAATCATCCAACAAATTTATTAATTCCTGGCCAGTACACCTTAGGAAAATAATGAAATATGTGCATGAAAATTTCATGCAGAAGTGCCTATAGGACTATTTGTAATAGTGTAAAATTGAAAGCAACCAGAATTTCTGGTGTTGGGGAAGTGGTTAAGTTATGTGACATGTATGCAGTGGAACATAATGAAATTGTAATGTTTATGAAGAATTGTTAATGACAAGAAAATGCTAAAGATAAATTTTTTATTGAAATGAACAGAATTTGCATGTAGATTATTTAATATTGTTTTGCTTCAGTTTCATTGGATTTTTATGAGAATTAAATGCATCAATGTCCTTTAAAAAACAATCACCGCACATCATAAGTGTTTCATAATTCTGACCTGTTAGAATCACATGCAGGACCTGGTGGCTTTCATCTTCACAGAGACTGCCCTGAATTGTTGAGCACAGTTTTGTTGCCAGTAATAGCAGAAATAAATGCTATACACAGTGATTGTTCTCTTAATCTGAATTTCACCTGGTAAGGGATCTGACTCACAAAACTAACCTGTTGCTCTTGTTACCTCAAGGATAGATAGAGAATCGAGGGAGCAGTAAGAAAATAATCATAATATATTGAGTAAAATTACTTCTCAATTAGAAATAATACACTTTGCAAGAGTAGGTTGGTAAGATTCTTTTGTTTTCCAGTCCCTATAATGGAGTTGGGTTTTGTGTGGGTTAAAAAGTAGTGACTGGTTAATTTTCAGATAGTCTAATAAGGGAATAGAAAACTGCACCCAAAAGAATTTTAATGCAAATTTGGGCCATGTGTAATTTTTTTTTTTTTTTTGGCCCAGCTGCCATAATTTTGGAAGCCTAAAGCGACTAAAGGGGTAGTAGTACTTTAAATATCTGACGATTACTAAATATTTACTAAGTACCTTGAAGTGGATAGTATGCTCTTTGAACTTAGTAGAAAAGAAAAAAAGATTGTTGTTTAAAGAAGTTATGATATTATGTGTCTTTTTGTACCCATTTGTTATGGCTTGTACCTAGATGTTCCCTCAGAGCTTCATGCAGTCATCAGTGGGGCTCTTTGGAGGTGGGTAGATCTAGGGTGTGTGATGCTGGGATCAAGAATGTGATGGTAGGATTAAGGGTGTGCATGCCACTTGCCCTGAGGGTGGGTAGCCTGGACAAGCTAGAAGGGACAGAAAGAGAATCCTTGTCACTGTGCTTCCTTATGTGCTTCCATGAACTGTTCTCCTCTTTGATGGCTCTGCTGTGCCACCCTGCCCTGGAGCCAGCTGATGATGTACTGAAACCTCTAGAAACTGAGCTACAACAAATCTTTCCTCCTTTAACTCTGGGTGTCAGGTATTTTGTCTCAGCAACAAGCAAGTAACTAAGATATTTTTTCCGGCTCTCCATCAGCTATCTCCATTCATTCATTCAGCCAACACTGATTGGGTGCTTACCATGTGCTGATCATTGCACTAGCTCTTGTGCACAGCTTAGAACTACAATAGGTAAAGAGTAGCCGCGAGTCTTGCCCTTGTGGAGCACGGATAAAGTAGCAGGCACTTGGAGTTTCTGTTCCTCAGTGTTGGTAGAGGAAAGATAATGTGCTTGAAGATCACATAGGAGGCCATTTAAAGATACAAGCAGTTTGTGAAATGGCCAAGTAAAACTAAGACACGACTTGCCTCAGTTAGAACGTGATCCATGGGTCATAGGCAGAGCAAAAGGCACTGATCAGATATGTCTTGTGTCTGACCTTAAACTCCAGGCCCTGCTTAGCTCTTTTTCCTCTTGTGTTTTAGAAGATCATGTAATTCAGTTTGTCTTTCCTCTTCCCCTTTCCCTCAGACAAGAATCTCTAAAAATGTCTTATAGAACAAATACGAATATATGAAAAAATATATATATATATATTGGAATAATTTCAGATATGTCCTGACATTTGGGCAAGACAGTAAAAAAAAGTCGCCTAGCCACCAGATTGTCGTAGAGCAGTCATGGCAAGCCTGTGGCATGCATGTCTCGGGACTGTTTATATCACTGAAAGCTCTATAAGTTTTGCCATCACTATCCTAGAGTGAGGGACTCCAGTCAGTAAGCCCTGGAAATTTGTATATTTCAAATCAGCATTTAGTACCTCACTGTGAAATATAAATGGATAGCCAAAATCCCCAGACATTTGAAAATTCT